TGTAATCCCAGCTACTCAGGAGGCTGAGGCAGGAGGGTCGCTTGAGGCCAGCAGTTCCAGACCAGCCTGGGCAACTTAGGGAGACCCTGTCACTACAATTAAAAAAAAAAAAAAAAAGAAAAGAAAAAGGAATTCTAACCCTCCCACACTATTCCATCCTCAGCATCCAGGAGTTCGAGGCTGTACAGCTTCAGTACTGGGGAGTCCAAGCCTCCAGATTCTTCCTCCCTCGGGATCCAGGAGTCCACGTCCTAGCTCCCTATTCGTCCAGGTCCCCATCTCTCTCCTCCTCAGGACCCAGGAGTCCAGGTCCCAGCTCCCTGTTTGTCCAGGCCCTCAGCTGTCTCCTCCTCAGGACCCAGGAGTCCAGGTCCTCAGTCCCTGTTCTTCCAGATCCCCAGCTTTCTCCTCCTGAGGGTGCAGGAGGCTCAGGCCCCAGAGCTCACCTCGGGTTCCCCGTGACAGCACATGTCAACACCAGCGTGTCTCCCTCCCTCACCACAGCTTGGGAGGCATGGATCCGGGCCGTTGGGGAGTCTGTAGGCAAAAGTAAGAAGGGAGAGTAGTTTCCGAGCAATCACGCGGGACAAGGGAGACCCTGCCGGGTGCGGGTGGCTGGCGTTGGGATCCCTTGGGTCCCGACCCACCGGGCACTTACACTGCACGTCCAGCACGTACTGCGTCTGCTTGCTGTGTCCGGAGGGCAGCGCCTGGTTCTGCGCCTCACAGATGATGATACCACCGTCGTCCTTACGGTCCACACGAAACCGCACTGTGCTTGCTACGCTCCAGACCTTGCCATTTTCCTGGCCGCTGCTCACTCCTGCCACGCCACGCCCAGACACTGTCAGGCTACGATTCTGGCTCCATCCACTCGCCCGAGCCAACCCCTAAGCAGGCTATTTGCCAAGCTCCACCCCTTGCCCAGAGGCCACGTCTCTTATCCTCAAACTACGCCCCTCCCCAAACCAAGTCCACGTGCCTCCTCCCAAAGCTCTTCCCTCTTTCACACTCATGCTTTCTCGTCTACAAATCCATTTAATTGCTCTCTATATATAAAAACATAAATTTATATATATGTACTTAGAGATGGGGTCTTGCAATGTTGGCCAGGTTGAACTCCTGACCTCAAGCAATCCTCCCATCTCGGCCTCCCAAAGTGCTAGGATTACAGGCGTGAGCCATCCGCACTTTGAATTGACCGACCGCTACCTATTGAATGTCCAGTGTCTGTGAAAACCTTTGGCTCCTCTCCAAGTCCCGCCTACATATAAACAATCTCTCTTAGGTCCCACCTCCTCCCCAACCCTCCTCAGCACTCTGCCCAGGGTACCTTTCAGCTCCTTGCGGTCCCTGTACCAGCGCAGGGTGGCAGCCGGGCGGGACCGTGGAACCAGGCAGCTGAGCTCCACCTCACCGCCCTCTACCGCCTGCTCCCGGACCTCCACCACGGGATTCTCTGGGGCCACTGCCACAGGGAAAAGGGAAGTAAGGGGTTAAAGAAGCATGAACCTGGGTTCAAAACGATCAAGCTGCCGGTTCCCAGGGACCAAAGGGAACCAGGGTCCCAGGTGGCAGGGCCCAAAGGGGGTCAGGAGCCAGGTGCCCATCCAGGATGTTAAAAATAGCCATGGTCAGAAAGTCTCAAGAGAAGAGAGAAACAGAGAAGAAAGGAGAGGATGCATCCAACAAGGGGGAGGGCGTTACCTAGTACAGTGAGCGTGGCAATCTGGTGGTGGGTGTCTTCCGTGTAGAGCTGGCAGAAATAGCCCCCCTCGTCCTCCAGGCGGGCATCTGAGAGCCGGATCCGCACCCGGCGTGGGGAGAACTCCTCAAGCTGGAAACGCTCATCCTTCAACGCTAGAGAGAGTGAGGGGGAAGGTGTGAATTTCGGGAGTCCTGGCCTCACAAGTCCCACCCATCCAACAGGAGCTTAGAGTTCAGCCCTCTACCTCTTTTCTGCAGCCATACCGATGAGTTTGAGGTGTCCAGCTATTTACTCCCTTGAGGAACCAGTGCTATTCAAGTCCTCCTGCCTGCAGAACCAGGAGTCCAGAGCCCCCAGCCCTTTCTTCCCCGAGACCCAGGAGACCAACTCTCAGGTATGTCCTCTTTCAGGGTAGGAAGTCTGGGCCCCAGCACTCACCACGGGTGCCATTGAAGAAGAGGGTCTGCCGGGCTGGGTTCTGGATGACAACTATGGACCCATCATACTGGTGCAGACCGCAGGTGATCTCAGCCACCCCACCCTCAGCCACTGTCACGTTCTCTGTCTGTACTTCCTGTCCTGCCCCTGGACCATTAGAGAGACGGGATAGAAGACTCATTGAGAGCTGCAATTCAATCTCTTCTCTCTCCCTCTCCCCCATCCAAGCCTCCAATCCCTCTCCCCTCATTCATTTCATTGCACCGAACATTTCCTGCAGGCCAGAGTCCAGGACAGGGAGGAAACCTGCTCCCTGCTCTAAAAGAGCTGCAGTCAGGCCGGGCGCGGTGGCTCACGCCTGTAATCCCAGCACTTTGGGAGGCCGAGGCGGGTGGATCACGAGGTCAAGAGATCGAGACCATCCTGGTCAACATGGTGAAAC